TCTGTGAAGCAGCTTGCTATGCGCCCTCGCTATCCCAGAATAGAACCCCTTGCAACATTGCACACATTGTGGGTGCTGATGGATTCGCAGCTGATTCGTTGGCCTTTGCTCGCGTGTCTTAGGCGGCAGGCATATCAAGCCTGGCAACTTCGGCCGTGGGTTCGAGCTAGCCCCTAGCCGGTCAGACGGCCATGAACAATCACTGTTGAACAACACGCGCAGTTGTCTGGCTGTTGTCAAATAGAATAAGTCAACGTCAGATTCCCGCTTTCAGAATAGCAACGTCATGGAGTCAAAGCAACTACACGGAACAACAGACAGACACACACACACACAAAACAAAGCGCCTGATCTGGATCATCGAAGCGCACGCCTTCCTCAAGTGCATATTCCTGCAGGGCGCGATGAAAAAAGGCAACGCGGCACCCTGGTAAAATTCGTGTCAGGATACAGCACCCAGCTCTTTGCAAGGCAGTATGGTGGTACACCGAAGCCTATGTTCGACAAGTGAACAAGTAAGAAACAATATTCAGAGATGTGCTTTTCCTGCAGGCCTTGGGAGGGTCTATGGGCCACGGGGCATCCATGGATTTCTTAGCTTACCTCCCACATACCACCCCCAAAGGGCCCATGAAGCCTTTACATTGTGCCCACGTTTGATTTTGGGAGAAGTTTGGGGATTGCCTACTCACACTAAACCGCAAGAATCACTTGGGCTGTGCTGGTCTTCCAAAATTGGTGGGCCCCTATCGAATAGACTCAAGAAAAGCAAAGATCTTGATGAACACAACTCTATCCAAAATGGAGGCGCACGCCCCTCTTGTAAAGGGAGCGGTGAGTGCGGTTGCTTGCTTTTTTGCCTGGTGCAATGCAGGGCAACATGGGAGGAAGGAGTCTACTGGTATCTACTGGTCCACTATAGTGACATTCTGCTAAATCAATCTACCCTCTAGCTTGGGTTTCAGGGGGAAACCCCACCCGAAAGTAATCTTCAGCACCCCTTAGAAAGCCCACTGGGGCTGCACTTTGGCCATATCTAGCCATCCCGCCTGCCACCCATGGATCTGCTTCCTTGGCTCGCGGCTTCTTTCGGAGTCGAGGCCTGGGGCCTGCTTTGCCGCTGGTTTTTTGTCGAGAAACCAGCGGAATCCGTAGGAAACAGTCGAAGCGCCAGGAGAAAGTCCGCTCCAGGCGACGGCAATGCACACACCTCTTGAACAAGCAGCATGCTAACATGCTGTGTCTGTATCTCTCCTCCGGGTAGCCACGACACTAGAGAAAGCACATGGACACCCATTGGTTGAACAATCTCTCCCGCCATTGTAAGAAACATTCATGTGCTGGCTAGGTTGTGGATACCGCTTTGCAGCATATCCCTTCCAATTGCACAAGCAAGTACTGAATTCCCGCGATAGCTATAGTGCTCAAAATGCGTTTCCAGTGCTCCCGAAATCCGTGGGTTGGGATTTGTTGGAAGTGACCGAAACCTCAATCTCAAAAAGCCTGGTCGCCTGCGACTGTGGCAACTGGATACATTACACGTTCCGGCAGGGCTAAAACAAAATATGTTTTCCCTTATATTCCACTATCAACACGCGAAGAACAACCCTTGAACAAAAACCATTGCCACATTGCCCACTGGGCACTGTTTCTATGGCGTGCCACAGTGACGCCAATAACGCACACAAATACACGTAAACACACACACACACACACACAAAGGCTGGGTTTTGCCACACACACACACACACAATTCGGTTTACGCTTTTTAGGAAAAACAGCCCAATGGAACGCGATGTCCCTCACAAATACAATCTCCCGGAATAAATATGTAGTCTGACATAGTCTGACCAAACTGACGGTCGTTTGGCGGATTCCCAATTGATGCTGCGGAATAGTGGTAACATATTTAAAGTACTGTCGCAGAAAACGACGATTATTAAAGCCAATTGTTCAAGTATATCTCTGATGTACATAGTGCTCAGAGTGCCAGTCTATTTCAGATAGTACTTAATGCCCCCTCTTGTGGTTGCTTATCCTAGAAGCAATTGCTGGAATTATGATCCCCACACAAGAAGAAGCGCTAGGAGCCTTGGTTTTTGGCCGGGGAAAGCCTGCACTTCCCAGAGGTTCTCAATTCCGACCCTTCGAAGGGTAGGCCAGGTAGGGTTGGGCTTAAAATGAGGGAGGGGATCCCTAATCCGCAATCAGTGGGCACTACAAGAAAAACAACTACAGTACCGTCTCCTCAAACTGATTTTGAACCACGGTGGCCCGAGTACCGACAGGCGGCAGGATGTCGTCGCTGGCGCGGCTGGTGCCGGGCCTCGGAGAAAACTTGCCAGTCATTCGGGAACGAGGGAATGACCCTCTAGGAACGCTTCCTTGCGGCTTCCTTTAAGGCTTAAAGGGATCCTGTTCCGGGTCAATGAGGGTTTCCTAAGTTGGTAGCCTAAGAAAGGAACCTGCGTCGTGGATGAGTTGGCAAACAAACCAAGTCTTTGCAAGATTGCCACCATTGCCCAGTTGTACATACACAGTTCAACAACTGTACCGAAGATGGCTCCAAGCAGACCAAGGTGCCAAAAAGGGGTCTGCTTCTGGGTAGATTGCATGAGTCATAGGGCAATCCCAGGCTCTAATCCAAGTGCGAGCAAAGGATAAAAGCTAACCAACAAAGACATCAACGAAGAAGAAGCCATGTAACACTGGCTTGTGTCCCTTTGAGAAAGGGGCTTCCCCAGAAAAGACTTCCTGTTCGTACAGCTTCCCTTGTGCATCTTCAACTGGTGTCCCTCAGAGGTCGATTTGGACAAAACCGCAACGCCACTGAAACAAAACAAATTGATCTAGTGACTGATATTTGATAGCCTTGAGCCACTAGAACTGGTGTATGATTATTCGCGCTGACCCAAGGCACAGTCTTGTTGGGAAGTCTTGGATCAAATGCACTACTCTAATGACACTCAGAATGCTCTTCCAACTAGCTTCTGTGGTGCCTGTGTGTCTGTGTGCCTGTGCCCGTGTGCCTCTGTGCCTCTGTGCCTGAGCACCGATGTGTCCTTGTGTCTGGTCTCTGTGCGCCTCCGTGCGTCTCCGTGTGTCTCCGTATACGACAGCCTTGTTGTTCAGGACACAGTGGGGACGCCCCAAAATCTGCCCTCCTTAATCTGTGACAAACGTGGTTCTGAGCAACTCAGGGCTCATCAGTACCAAACTGAGAAATGTGGAAAAGCTGGGACCATTGTCGGCCTTCCTCTCACTCGAGACTGCCTGTTGTCCACAGCGGGGAACCAAAGGTTGCTCCCTCCGATTTCAAAGTGTGGCTTCCCAAATGGTGTCGCCTGTTCATCGGCAAAAAGGGTCCTGTGAGATGTACAGGCTGCAAATAGGGGTGCGCCTTGCAAATATGGCGAACACCCCATACCAATGCATTTCCATGTATATTAAGGTATTGGCACTGAAGTATGTATTCCTATTTTGGAAAGTACACAAATGAAAGCACTGGGCCAAACACACTGGATTACAGAGGCCCAGTGTGTATTCAAAGGTTTCGGCTCTGATGCGCCAATTCTCAGTCGCTACAGGGGTCACTGGATTTCCTCTCACCGATCCCAAGCGCCCCGCCAACCTGGGTCCCACGGCAACTCGCGCCCCCCCGTCTTTGTGGCATTCTCTTCCTGCGCCGAGTCTCAAAAACCCTTCCCACTGCAATTTGATGTGCCCGAAAAAAGGGGAGGTCTGGAACTTCGATGTCCTGTTTACGCACCGTCTTCAAACACTTGGTCCTCATTCTTCAGACAGACCCGGACAGTTGTCAAGAGAAGTATCAATCAGGTATCCCAGCAGGTAGAAAACAGGACTTACTCGGATTCTTGGGAGTCTGCCCACAACCCCGTCGATCCTCCAAAGTGTTATGCCACCAAAAAGCCAGAAGAAATTGAAGTACGCGCGCTCTATCTGTAAAATTGCCTCACGCATTCCCATCACCCCTCTAGTGGGCAATCAGGGTGGTGTTGGTGTTCCTTTTGTTTCAAGCTGATGGCTACACTCGGTTTTTTGCCGTAGCACTCTCTGTTCTGACAAGTGACAAGGCTGCCACTTGGCCTCTCTTACAGCTGTGTGCATGTGTGTGTGTGTGTGTGTCCCTAGGCTCCCCTTGACTCCCTACAGCTTCCTTGGGGTACAGAAAAGCTTCCTCAAAACCGGAAAGAACAGCAGGGCTCCCCACCAGCCCACTTCCTACCCCGCTTGGAATTAAGGATGCCATACTCTGTTCAAACATACTCATCGTTGTTGTACATTTGACTTCTACTGACCATCGTTCCTCCAAGTGGCCGTGTTGCTTTCTCGCCATCTGGGCGGCAGAATAGAAGCAGTTCCCCCCCCCACGCCCCGAATCCCCCAGTCTTTTCTTGCCATGCAAACTTGATTTATTAGTCCTTGTCCGCACAGCATCCAAAGCGAGTGATTCAACGACAGGGGCAAGGCCACTAAGAGCCCTTCACAACACCGGTACTGTTTTGCATGTTGCTGAAGTGCCACCCTTTCGTCACCAATTGAAAACAGAAAGCTCGCCAAAGAAAGGCATCTCCACCCCGGGTTGACCCCTTCAGCGAACTCGCTGAGACTTTTTTGCAAACCCACTTCCCAGGTGGTGGTTCCAGGCATGTCATCAAACAACACAATCAGGGGAAACTGCTATGCCACGGCAAAAGGCAATAAAACTGGATTGGCTTACCTGCCTTGCCCTAAAAATCGTATGGTGAAGGGAGTTCCAAATTTGCTGGCTGATGTCTGATTTTAAACTCCTGGGCTACCCAGCCTCAGCCTAGGATTTTGTGCAACCCCAAAAAGAATTAGTTGAAACGCTTTACAAGGGGCCTGAAAAGGTGCTTGGTGCCTTTGATTCGCCGATTCCAACCCCTTTTGGAAAAGTCGCACCCTCCCTGCCTCCTCCTCCTCATCTGCCCAGCCTTCCGCACCCAGGCCGTCCCCCTTCACCAGAGCTTCCTGGCAAGGGGAAAGGGGCCCGGGGCGGGAAATCTTGCCCAGAAGCAATCAACACTCCTTCGGAGAGACAGCTGAAAATAAGGGACACCAGGAAAGCAGCCTTCATCATGGGTCAGGTCGCGGTCTTGAGTCTCGAAGAGGATTTAGATGCTAGAAGCACAGGGGGGGCCAACCGATTCTTCCTTGAAACATCACCACCCCCCCACAAGGTGATGCTCAACACTGGCACGACCCCTCAAACTGGCGCTATTGACAATGTGGGCAAGGGCACGGGGTCGAGGGGGAGGGAGGAAGAAGAGAAAAGCACAGGTTTGCTATGCGGTGCCATGCCTCGTGATTGGTTGACATGCGATCTTTAGGGAACATATTTGAGCCAATCGCCTGTTTTACGTTGATGCTAGTCAAACATCCCTTGAAGCGGTCCATGGCATATGCTTGTTTCACCCAGGTTTGCAACATACCTCATTGAAATCATTTGCGTTGGGGGGCTGAAAATCAGAAGCCAGAGGCTCCTGATGTCATTACCTAGATCCCTTAGCTTTGCAAGCAAGCGGCAAACCCGCCTGAGCTCATGCTCTGGAACCTTCTGGATTCAAAAGCAAGGGACGGCATACAGAGGGCCCATCTAGTCTAGTTCCCTAAAACGAGGTCAACGGGTTGCTCCGCTCGGGCTCGTCTGTCTTTTCTAGGGGTGCCACCGAAAATCCCAGGTTTTCGGGGATTCCCAAGTCCTGTGCGTCAACGAAAACATCTCTCGAAAGGAGTCCGCGCTTCCCCGAACAGGAGCATAGTCCGGTATGGCGCTCACCTGTCATCATGAGCTGCAGCTAAAACATGAAGTGTCCCTTGGTTACCTGCTATGGTGCCAACTGGAAGCACTGGATACAGCACGGGAATCACCGTGAAAGCTGGTTCAGGTGTGCGCGGAAGACTGCACCCAGTCCGTCAAAACCCGCTCCTTTGCCAGGTTCAGAATGCGCATCTGGAAGTCAAACTTCACCTGAATGTGAGACAATCGGGCTTAGGTAGAAAACAAGACGATCAGCCACCTAAGCGGGTCAGCATAGTTGTCATGTAACTCACAAGGAGGGGCAATAAAGCCCAATGCGTTACCCATGCTACCGTAGCAGAAAAGCAGTATAAGTGCGGCAAGTGGGCCTGACACTATCATTATCACTGTACTTTGCCGATGGCCTCGTTAGAAGGAGACTCAGCCCAAACCCGAGTTCGGAATGTGTCAGGAATGGTGGGACCTATCCAATGCCTGGTGCCAGGTTCGATTCCTTTTCCGAGAAAGTATGCGGGAGAGTTCTCGACGGCCGAAAGATGCTGCGTCTGTTCGGGGATGTGTCCGCCTTTTGTTGCGAACATCTGAAGCCACTTGGGACACCACCCACGGGAAGAACTCATGCCGATCATCCACATCAAACCAAGCCTTCAGGAGGGTGGCGATGCTCAGGTTCCACATCTGTGCAAAACAGAATCATAGTATCAGTTGCTCGCATGGAGAATGGACGAATATGAGTTTGATGGTTCCTTTGGACATTCCCCAAACCAGGAGCCCCATCAAACGGTGAGCGTGACATTGCCCCACTTTAAGAGCTCTTTCCGAAGAAGAACCGTGACGTAGTTGATACACATACACAAACATCTGGGTGAGTTACAATAATTCACCAACTTGAAACGATTCATGGACTCCCAAGAAAGGATTCTGCGTCCTGGGCGCTAGGATTTGACAAAAGGCTTGAGATAGCCATGTCGGTTTTAGCTACCATGCATGAGACGTGTCCGTCAGATTCATAGCGAAATGGAGGGTGGAGCACGTTTTGGATGCTTGATTGGAAACCAAAAGGGAACAAACCCTTTCAGGGCGACTCCGTAGGATGCAACAACCCCCCCCCCCGCCAAACCCCCCCCCCCCAACTCTTTCCGCGCCTGGTCTTCAAAGATGTTCCTCCGGAACCGGCGGGCGATGTTTCCTGAATTGCCAAGGCGCCCCCACCGGTGAGTATCAAGGGCGTCCTTTACCCAAAAGATCAACCAGGTTCTCCTGTTCACTCTCCTGCCTTAAACAGAGATGCTACACTGAAAGTGCAAGCTCCCTGGTCCCCTTCAAATCTTGAGAAAACTCACTTGGAATTAGCCCATCAAGCGATGTGTGTTTTTATTAGCTAAACGGGGAAATATGGAGACCCCTCAAAGAACAGCTCGAAAATCGCCCGGCGGCATTCCAATGTTGTTATAACAAAACATATCGGATTTGCGCTTTGTGATCGTGCATGTTGAATCGGTCCACAAGCGGTCCGTTGACTAAAAGCAGCTCTCACGCTGGCCCGTACCACTGTGCTATAATGTTGACCCAGGATTCATAAACCCGTCCCACTATTAGGGGGGTGTTCCCTGCAAAAGTGATGAATCCCCACTAAAAGGGTACACCCCCCCTATTAATCAACCAGGGGTTTATGAATCCGGGGTTAACAATAGTACAGATATCGATTTGTGTTGGCAGCGGGTAGATTGCACTGCTTGCGTCTTGAACACTTTGCACCTCCTCCTTGTAAAAGCGTCCCGGGCTTGCCAAATGGCAAGCCAAGTGCGGAACTTGCGACAATTTACCCTCCGCACAAGTGCTGCTTGCTTGCTCCTGCCACGAAAATCATGCTACAGGGAATGAAGTAACCGCGACTCTGAGCAAACGACTTCAGGACAAGGTCCCCATATATATATATATATGTATATATTCATGTCCATATATCGCAAGACAAATATAGACATGAGACGTTAGAGCCAGAAATTTCGGTTGTGATACATACCTCTGAAGGAGGTGCCATGAGGTGCCCTTCCAAGGAGCGGTAGGCGCGGCGGATCGCCTTCTCCTGGCCATGAAGGCTTTGGTCCTCCACCGGCGGGGCCTCAGCGGGTCACGGGGCTAAGGTCACAAGGACCAGCCAAATGCGGCTTCCATTCGAGGCTTCCCCAAGTGTTCACAACTGTTACGTGGATCTTAAGTGAAAAGATGGAAAAAACACATGGAAAACCACTGCCGTTTGAGGGGAACCCTTTTTTGGAGAAACACTGAGTTGAGCCGCACCCAAAACTCCCCTTTTGGCCATTTCAATGGGGTTGTAGTAGGCCACGAATAAACCATTTTTGCCCATGCTGATAGAGCCAAAAGCCAATGGATTTCGGGTGCTGTTTTTTCTTCTTGAAACTGTCCCCCACCAATGGAAGCTAACTATCGGAAGAAATGAGTACACAACCACAACTCGGGGGTAAAAAAGCTTTGGGGGAAGTGAACACCTTCTTGGAAAGTCAAGGTGAACTGTTCCCAGTGCCTGGCACTGAGTCAAATGTTCTTGCCAAATATTACAGCATCTGCTACTTGTGCCTTCGTGCATTTCTTCTGCAGTGCTTTCCCTATGAACTGGCACATTGCCCGCCGCCATCACAGCGGCCTCGGAACTTCGGAACTGCTACATTCGCAGAATGTCTTTTCTTTCCCGTACAGCCGGCATCATTCGCCGTCCGTAAGCCTCGCTGCAGAGGGAGAAAGAGAGAGAGAGAGAGAGAGAGAGAGCAGAGCGCTGCACAATCGAGGCCAACAAGCCACTATTGTTCTTTGAACTCTTGGGCATTGGCCCAGCCCTAGGAGACAAATCGAAAACGATATGTTCAGAGTCTGTTTCATATCCGCCGACCCCTTTGCAAAAGCCAAGTTAGTCTCTGCAAAGGGGCGAGGCGTGTTCTAAGTGGTGGTTAGGGGAGTCTGAGGGGGGGAGGGGGGGCCCCGCGGCGGATTTTTGACACGCCTAACCTCTAACTCTAACCTCTAACTCTAACCTCTAAGCCTAACCTCTAACCTCTAACCCTAACCTCTAACCCTAACCTCTAACCCTAACCTCTAACCCTAACCTCTAACCCTAACCTCTAACCCTAACCTCTAACCCTAACCTCTAACCCTAACCTCTAACCCTAACCTCTAACCCTAACCTCTAACCCTAACCTCTAACCCTAACCTCTAACCCTAACCTCTAACCCTAACCTCTAACCCTAACCTCTAACCCTAACCTCTAACCCTAACCTCTAACCCGAACCTCTAACCCTGATGATGACGAAGTCGATAATGATGATGATTGATAATGATGATGATGATGATGATGATGATGATGATGATGATGATGGATGATGATGATGATGATGATGATGATGATGATGATGATGATGATGATGAGATGATGATGATGATGATGATGATGATGATGATGATGATGATGGATGATGATGATGATGATGACGATGATGCTGATGATGATGATGATGATGCTGATGATGATGCCGATGATGATGATGATGATGATGATGATGATGCATGATGATGATGATGATGATGATGATGATGATGATGATGATGATGATGATGATGATGATTATGATGATGCTGAGGATGCCGAGGATGATGAGGATGTGGTGATGATGAAGATGATGATGATGGTGGTGATGATGGTGATCATGATGATGGATGATGATGATGATGCTGATGATGATGGATGATGATGGATGATGATGGATGATGATGATGATGATGATGATGATGATGATGATGGATGATAATGATGATAATGATGATGATGATGCACGATGATGATGATGATGGTGATGAGGACGATGTTGATGATGGTGATGATGATGATGCTGATGATTATGATGATGGCTGCTGAGGATGATGACGATGATGAGGATGAGGATGGTGATGGATGATGATGATGATGATGATGATGATGACGATGATGGCCGATGATGATGATGATGATGATGATGGATGATGATGCTGATGATGATGATGATGATTATGATGATGATGCCGATGATGATGATGATGACGATGATGATGATGATGATTGATGATGATGATGATGATAATGATGATGACGATGATGATGATGATGGATGATGATGATGATGATGATGAATGATGATGATGATGATGATGATGATGATGATGGTGGTGGTGATGATGGTGATCATGATGATGATGGTGATCATGATGATGATGATGATCATCATGATGCTGATGATGATGGATGATGATGATGATGATGATGATGATGATGATGATGATGATGATGAGGCTCCAACCTTAAGCTCTAACCCTAACCTCTAACCTTAACCTCTAACCCTAACCTCTAACCCTAACCTCTAACCCTAACCTCTAACCCTAACCTCTAACCTCTAACCTAACCTAACCCTAACCTCTAACCCTAACCTCTAACCCTAACCTCTAACCCTAACCTCTAACCCTAACCTCTAACCCTAACCTCTAACCCTAACCTCTAACCCTAACCTCTAACCCTAACCTCTAACCTCTAACCCTAACCTCTAACCCTAACCTCTAACCCTAACCTCTAACCCTAAACCCTAACCTCTAACCCTAACCTCTAACCCTAACCTCTAACCCTAACCTCTAACCCTAACCTCTAACCCTAACCTCTAACCCTAACCTCTAACCCTAACCTCTAACCCTAACCTCTAACCCTAACCTCTAACCTTAACCTCTAACTCTGATGATGACGAAGGCGATAATGATGATGATTGATGATGATGATGATGATGATGATGATGAGGATCATGATGACGATGACGATGATGATGATGATGATGATGATGATGATGATGATGATGATGATGATGATGATGATGATGATGATGATGATGATGAT